TTTCCCTGAATAGTGATTGAGTAACCAAGACTTGTAAATAGTACGTTAATAAGTCAATATGGGTGTCCACGATGAAGTGAAGTGATTCGAGACGAGGTACGCGAATGCTACCTTATGGAAATTCATCAAGAGAATCGCCAATGCCCAACCGTGAGCACATGGCAATCCCCATACACTGAGACACACGTCTCTCCAAGAAGACCGTTGCTCATAAAAAATAAGTCGCAAGTGAGGTTCAGATTAATAGTCGTGATGGCAGTAAAGTGGTGGGCCAGACATAGTCGAGGACAAGGGGCGCCGTGTGCTCATGATTCATCAGCGGGTCCCAAGGTTCTTATATATAGATTATATGCTGCATAATTAAAGACTTCAATTGCCGCGGTTAGTTAATATGCTAATGCGGATCACATCTCATACTCTCCCCATAGATGAGGCAGATAACCAAGTCACGTAAGCTTGGTTTCTGGGTTTTGATTTGACTAAATGAATATCCCGCGGACCTTGCTATCGCATGTACGTGCATGCCTTCGTACTGCACGAGGCGCTATCGCTCATCCTCACCCCTTTCAGGAAGCTTGATGAACATCATATACTGCAGACACTAAGACGCGGAGCACTGAAATGATCTCAGAATCTTGTTATTACACTTACTTCCTAACCTACAAGAGGGAATACAAGTCCATCAGAGTACATAGTAAGCTTTGCTTAGATCTTCTTTTTGTTGGTCGTATTGCAATCAGGTGACGTCCTGTCGTCAATTTATAGACATTCAAATCAGTTGCAACGTTTCACATTGGTTTAGCTTGGTGACGAAAATTTGCTTTAAGCCGTAATCGCATAATTAATTAACAGACCATGATTATTTCACTTCAAACGAACTTCAATGAAAAATCAACGAAAAATAACAAGCGAGTTCATCAGTAGAATCTATCCTTGATCTCGAATTGGTACAAACTACAAATTCATCTGGCCCAGCTATATAATAATGAACTTTTGATTTTTTATGAATCGGTACAAACTTATTGGCACGCCAGGTCAACAAGTTCACGTTAAAAGACCATGCTCAGCACAAAGTTGTCTATATTAACACCAATAAAATCATCACTGCAGAATGAAGATGGAAAACCTGTTTTCTCTTTCTTCAACTGTGTGATAAGCCCGAAGTACCTACATCCGAGGCTGTAAGGAAATGATTCATTACGTTGATTCAACGAAATGACTTTTAATTAACGCTGACTCAACGATCCGACGTTAAATTAACGTTCATTAAACGGAACAACGTTTAATTCAAAGTTGATTCAGCGACAGATGCGCAAGAGCGCTAAACTACGAACCCAGTTCCCTGTTTCTGGTGCGAGTAGCGAGTTAGGAGCGCAGAAGTTTTAGCGGCCTAAGTACTGATAGACCGGGAGTCCCGGTAGGGGACATGATAATGAAGCCCTGGGGGCGAGTCCCGACACAGTGGACATGCTCAGCACCTCGCCTCTAACTCTGAGCGTCTCTGTCCTCGTATGAACTGGGGACGCGAGTGCGATTACACTTAGTATGTGTTCCATCTCCAGTAACAACATGGCCCAAGGATTTAATGAATAAATTAAGGGGATTCGAGTGATAACAATATCGTGTATTATCATCATTCAACGCAACACATGAATGTTCTCTTTATAAGCGCCATACAATGAGGTATTAGTTGAGCGTTATACGACGAGGTATCTATATTCTATAGTGAGCACAGTACAAGGTCTCCATATAAAACGAAATACAAGGTAATCCTACTATCCTACAAGGTAATCCTAGAAAGCGCATTACCAGATGATAATCCTAGTAAACGCATTACTAGAAGGTAATCATAGGAAACGCATTAATATAAGGTAATCCTAGTAAACGCATTACCAGAAGTAAATCCTAGAAAGCGCTTTAACAGAAGGTAATCCTAGTAAATGCATTACTAGAAGGTAATCCTAGTAAGCGCATTACCAGAAGGTAATCCCACTGAGCACAATACTCGAAGACAATCCTAGTAAGCGCGATGCCGGGTAAAGATATTTGTTACGACATTGAGGGAAGCTTCTTTCCTCGTTTCGAGCGCTAGCTCGGGTGCAGGCTCATTTGCTGATGACGCACTAGGTTGAATGACTGTGGCAGTTGCGCTGACAAAATAAGTTATAGAGATGAAACTATTAATACCATTCATAGCCTGCCTTTCAATTAAAAATGAACAGTTTAAATGTTATTGTAATTGTTTTCGTGCGATTGACTCAGTATGAGAAAACTCCAGTCTTCTGCATAACTAGTGCATACCTTGAGGCGATTCGAATTTTAGGCACATTAGTGAAGAACGTGATGAAAAAACGCATCAAATATAATTGATTAGAGGCACAAACTTCACAAGAACGACACACTAGAAGGTCCACACGTGGTCATTGAAGTGAGACCGTAATTAAGGCTCTTTTTATTAGTGAATTTATAACTCACTAAGACGTAACGCAAGAAAAACGAGAGCTTGGTGACAACATCGTTTCAAGGCTCCCAGCAAGAGATTGAACCTTTGCAGCGCCTTCCAATAACCAAACACTGAGAACCTTGGTAAATTTCATTGACAAGATTGATACGCATCATGTCCCCAAGAAACAAAAAAATATATACTTTTAATAAAAGAATCATTGCACTAAAGACTCCCATCATATCGCAACCTGACTCACAATCGACAAAAAGCAACAAGACTTCGACATCAAAAACAGACGAGGTTTACCTTGCAAGTTCAAACAGCAAAAGGCTATATAGCATCAGTTGGTAAAATCTAAGGCCTAACTTGGAGTGTGATCAACACTAAGCATAATGACACTGGCAGCTTTACATCGAAGCAATCGAGAGCTAAATAAAGGAAAAAAAAAACGAAAATACATGACAGACGACTAAGAAGCGATCAGAGACATTGTCACAAACAATAAAGTCAAATAAAGTGGTAGAGTAGAAATAGAGGATAGTACACGGGTAAGATTACAAGAAGGAAACCTGGAGAAAAGTAGGAAGTAGGAAGAGTAGGAAGGAAGCAGGGAGAGGCCGCAGCTATGGACCCAACAAACGACCGACTGTGCACAGTCTAGCCAGCCTGTCAGTGACGTCACAACTCCTACAGCATCGTCTTAGCATCGAACCGTGCGATTCCTCTCCAGTTTTATTTCGAATAATCACAGATTATTTTTTTAACTTAATACCGAAACTTATCTGGAGCGATTATTAGCGCCGAACAACAAATACACGCCTTCCAATTTAGCTGGTTAATCACACATTTCAAGTAGACGCGTTCGATAACACTGAAAACTACAACTTACATGAGAGTATTGAGATCAGCATCAACTGCGCACTCAATATTGTGATACCGACATACCATGTCAAACGAGTTGAAATAACTACTGTAATCCTTATAACTTAAACATGAAGTGCGATAGGAAAGCTTGCATTCATTACACTACCCATTTCTGCCAAGTTGAACGGTTAAATAAATGACGATACCGAGTGAGTAGTCATTGTCAGTCATCACATAACGCTTGTAACGGTTGAGGTTACCTCCCTTACGAGCTAATCAGCGTACAAAAAAAAAATTTAGAAGGTGAATGTAAAACCATATACAAGATCCAATGCATTCATCAAATAAGGAAACACACCTAATAACCACGATATCAAACAAATAAGGAAACACACCTAATAACCACGATATCAAACATATAAAGAACAACAACTAATAACCACGGCAATAATCACAGGAGAATCCACACCAACTTTTAAAGACAATCGTCACTCGCTAGATGAGTTGCCAGTGGCAGGTCATGTCAACTTATCAGTTGCCTTGGCAGAGCAGCGAGCCGCTCGCCACGCTGGCTTCTAACCAACTCCTGTCAATGGCAGACACTGGACAAGCATCTAAAAACTTGTGGCCGTCGATAGTGGTCGACAATGCGTGCAGGAGCAGCAGGCATGCCACGTGCAACCGACAGCAGAACCAAGACGCGCAGGTGAAGCAAATATCCACTAAATTCAGATCAATAAATAGAGACCGCTTACCACACGCACAACTAATGCAACTAACATTGCATCAACACCCCACGCATATAGCACCTATACTACAAGCTATGCACAGCGCACACCACGCACAGCACTAAAACATTATGAACTGCACCAATACAATATATTAATATAGTTAAAAGTACATATGTTACAATTACATATGTTACAGTTACATATGTTATACGTGTATTTTTGAAGAGCTGCATTTGATGTGAACCATCAATAGACACTTACAAGTTCAACAGTGAAATAGAACCTCCACTACCCACCAAAAAGTTTAAAACTACTGCAAGCAGCACGTCCACAGTGTCCACCCTTGATAACATAGCTACGTTATTCCACCCTTCACCACTAAAATAAAGCACTAATCGACACGAACAAGATAAGAACTGACGAGCTGATCCTCTCTTCAAACATTTTCGATACGAATTTTTTTTTTGTTGAAACCACAAGCGGCGATCATTTTGTCATAGTTTCAGTTATTAGCGTACTCGACGATGGTATCCTAAATTACTCAAGTGATAAATTGGCTGCAAAATTAATTACTCCTTACCGTTTTGATAGCCTATACCCGTGAGTTTTATTGCTCATGTAAAAATATGGAAGCATTAATATGATAAATTTTTTCATCTTTAATTTTAACAAATTATAGAATCTCGTAGATTGTCACATTAAAGAGCAAAAAAAAAAAATCGCGAGAGCTGATGAAAGTACAGAAATCTTACAACAGCGACAGATTTAAGCTTAATAATAATAATACACGCAGAAAAACGTCCTCTTAAACAACAAGCACGGTCATATACTTTATAAATTCTAAACGTATTATAATCATTAAATTATAAAGTCACGACAAGTGATGGCAAGTTGTATGCACAAGGACGTTTTACAGCGCGTGCCTTATAGTAATAACTCATATTCATTTGGGTACTCACTCGTATGTTGTTCTTTAGTCTTTCAACTTCTTGCCGTAAACTATCCAAATCATTCATTTCTACAGGTTACAAAACTAAAAAAATCTGCAAAGAGAGAAAAAAGTATCCATTAGAACAAGATAAGAAATAATTTCAACACGCATAATGGTAATAGACATGATATTTAGCCGGAAATCTCTGAAGAAAAATACAAGGTTAAATTTATAATTGAGGCACAATTAAAAGGAATAATACAATAGCGCTTCAACGTCGACGCCAGGCAGCAACACGATATCATACCTCCACACCTGCACCCACTGTGTGGCATGTATCAGTTGACGTGTGGCATGTATCAGTTGACGTGTGGCATGTATCAGTTGACGTGTGGCATGTATCAGTTGACGCGTGGCATGTATCAGTTGACGTGTGGCATGTATCAGTTGACGTGTGGCATGTATCAGTGGACGTGTAGCATGTATCAGTTGACGTGTGGCATGTATCACCAGTGTGGCGTTTGCACAGCCGCAAGTGTGGCGTTTGCACAGTGGCAAGTGTGGCGTTTGCACAGTGGCAAGTGTGGCGTTTTCAGAGCAGCAAGATTGGAGTTGTTTCATTGGGGAATTGCGACGACAGCGCAGCGCGGTGGCTGGCGAGTTAGGTTATTATAGTTCAAGGATGAAGGACAAATTCACTTATTAGACCTCCTGTATAGGTCAAACATCGCAACAATGCTCTTCATCACTTCCCTGCACGCCGCTCATGGAATGCCAAGGCTGACAGAGGTGCTTTGGTTCAAGCTTCAAGAGTCTCATTTTGATGCACTGCGAGTGGCAGTGTGGGTGGCATGACCACTTCAACTCAAGAGTGGCAGTGTGGTGTGGCATCACTATTCAACACACTCGAAAGTGGCAGTGTGATGTGGCATCTCTATTGAACGCACTCCGAGCGGCAGTATATTGGAATTGGATACGAGCCACATGATGAATCCTCATATGAGGAGGTTGCTGAGAAGCTTCAATCAAAACTTTATGTGCACTTGAAATCGCCACATTGGAATCCCGGATACCTCACTGCAGTTAAAATTAACCGTCGTTTTGAGAACCTAAATAACTACGTAGAATAGAGTGCAGTCACACAAACCCCACTGTTAGAACAATAACGGAAAAAGTTGAGAGATTTTAAAGCCTATACTTTAATAATCTTTATTATTTCATGTTAAAATCTGTATAAAATTTTGAAAAGCCTCATCCCACTCTAGATACAACAGATTTCCTCGACTCTCATGCTTATCAAAAGACAATGTGTTCGGAAATGCACCTTGATAAATTTGAATAACTTATTCGATAGGTAACCCTAACGCAGGAAGTGAGTATCAAGATTGGCATTTCTGTTATATCAGAAATGTGAAATGTGGTATAATGCCTACACAACCCAGCTCAAGCCCCTCGGTCGAGTGTGACATCTCTACGTCAACCTACTCTCAGAAAATTCAGTGTCTCACGTTCTCCTAATATACCAGTGACGCGCTTTCTTACTCACAGTGCAAGCAGAGAGTGACAATATCCTGAAACACCTTTTTGTCAGGCCAAACTGCTTCGGAATGACACATACGAGAGTAAAAAGTGCATCGTTATTAGGACAAAGTCTCGCTAATTTCTATGAGTCAACCTAAGATTGTTTTTGCTATATCAAGTCTGAAAAGAATACTAACTTCAGAGGCAGAGAACGATAGCTACTAATTTCAGCATACTACAAAGCGGTCTCAAGCAACACACACCATTCGTATAAATAATAACAAACTTCAAAGAAAACGTACTCTATCAGGCTAGAATGGCATCTGGAACATCTGTGTAATATCCTACACCGCCAAGTGGACACGATTTATTATTAATGATTCATGATGAGCAAGATGATTTATTAATTGTAATGTCATTTATTTATTCCAGTGAACTCTTCGGTTCATCTAACCAAGTCTTGTTAAGCTTTTCTGTTTAGGAAAATTAAAGGGCGAATGCATTTTAAAATCATTGCCACCACCAAAATAAATCAAAACATACAATACAACATCGGTACGTATTTTGAACCCATGTTACACAGAACCAAAATTTGAATCATTGTTTGCAATTAAGACACTAATTATTTGGGAGTCTTGGCAGCGATTAATAAAAGCTTTCTCGCCACAAAAAAGTGATAAACTGTTACCAAAGTCAAAGGCTCCTACACTCAAAGGAATATGTGGGACTCGTTCCTTAGTAGTATCAGTGCTACGTAAGCTCTATGCTCCGTGCTGTAAGAAGTGTATCGCTCCTTGGGCTACATTACCCATTCATTTCCTTAGTGTATTTTCTTGGCAAAGTCAGTAAAACAACGCGTTTTCTGAAGCAAATACACTGCTGTCACCAAATGAGTCGACTGAACATCGCCCAACGACTTGACTGAACATCGCTCAACAACTTCACTGAATATGGCTCGATAACTTGACTGAATTTGGCTAGAAAACTATGATGAATATGGCTAGAAATCTTGACTGAATAATGAATATGGCTCGACAAATTGACTGAATATGGCTTGACAACTTGCCTGAACATCGCTCGTCAACTTGACGGAAAATCGCTCGTCAACTTGACGGAAAATCGCTCGTCAACTTGACTGAAGATCTCTCGAAAATTTGACGGAACACAACACTTTACTAATTTCAAACTTAAGAATTTCGTATTACTCAAGTCATATAATAAAAGATTAGGTGAACCAAAAAGGTCAACCAAAATCAACGACCTAGACTAAGAATATACCGTTTGATTACGTTAGCATTTGTATACACAAACAACCTACGGATTTAGCTGTGCTCCGTGCAACCCAATATGATGGCGATACTCATTTGGTTTATTCAATTACAATTCACAGACAAACTGGAACGGAATGGCATCTCTAATAAATTTCTTGCGTTGTTTCAGCTGAGGTAAAATAAGGTACAACGCCCTTCACCGACGTACTAGCATCACAGATCCTGAGGATCACAATACTCGCTTGCTCTTATGAAAGTAAATCTCGTGCGTTTCAGCTTTCCTGTTCTGCGCCGTTACAGTTTCCTTTATTAGGACAGTTACATTTACGGCACACTCCAGGCACTGTTCTTTTTCGCTACCCCTCTGTGACTCGCGTCGTTCAGGGCAATAAGAACGTTAACGCTACAGTGGTTGTGTGGATTACACATGTAATCAGTGCGTACAAGATCGACCGATACGAAATCATCCGTAAAGGCGACAAATCTGGTCACTTTTTGCACGCAACTACTGTAGGGTTAACAGGATCTCTACTGTGCGATAATTTCAACTGAATTTATATTGGGCTTGAATCTAGTGACAAGATTCAAAGTAGAAAGTAGAAAAATAGTGACGTGAATTTTGTTTTCCATAGGAATTAGAGCGTTCACATATGAAGGAAGCGAGTTTAAAGAAACCAAGGTAGAGTATGAGTTTGCAGTGAGTATCCTGGAGCATATGACGCTCTAACAAAATAAAAGTAATCTCAAAGGTGTAATAATGTTTAGGTGGTTCGATTAGAACGAACCCACCACCACTGTATACTAGATAAACTGATATTGGCAAGAAGCTCTCGTGATGGCGAGTTAAGAACACTCAGCTCCATCGCATGTACGGGAACGTCGGGGAACATGAGCTGTAGGAAAGGCCGATAACAATAACCAAAATATTCCACTTAACGGTAAGAGCAGGTGGAGGTGGTCTGGCTGACGTAATGAAGCGTGAACACGGCTGGACTCATGCGCAGCTCGAGGGGAAGTAGTTTACGCATAAACATCTCAGGCATAGTAAATGAGGCAGTAGGTGTGCATGCTGCATGGTAATGCAAATAAATCATGATAAGAATTGCAGGCGATGCAGAGCAGCTCTGGTGGAAGGAGCTTCGTTAGGGCGTGGTTTGGTCAGTACGCTGGCTGACTGGCTGGGACTGGCTGACCCGGCATCCAGCCATGTCACCAATTGGGTGATAGGTGAGCCTCATAGCTAAGATAAGCAATGATCCCAGCGCCAGATGATAACACTTGAGGGCACACAACACAAAGCAGGGGCTTAGCAGCAAGTGGGCTACCAAACACGCTAAATCTTACCAGTGTGGAGAGGCAGGGTGTCGGTGAGGCGAGGTGAGTGTCGGGGTCACAGAGGCATAAGTGGCATACTGACTGCCACACGCACACCGCACTAAAATGAATACAAGCTGCTGCTGCTGCTGCCTTGTGTGGCCAGCCACTCCTGCCCTTCTACTATCTCTCTCTCCTGACTTCTACGGCACGATCATAACCACATAGAGAGGGATGAGAGTGGCAAGGATAACAACACTGATCAAAGCTGCGGCAGTTTAGATGCACAATGGCAGTGCAGCCGAGTATGGGACGGCCGCAAGACAAGTTCGGCTGCTAACGGCATACACGACACTCTAGTGCAGTAGTGCTGCCGTGCAATGCAGCACCAGCACAACAACAAATTATGTCTAAATCAGGATACAAGAGGAGGCGTAGCGGCACTGTGATGATAGTATGGGAGCAATGGGGGTATCACCAGCGGAGCGCGTGCTACTCGTCTCACTACTCACAGGCAACTGAGGCAAGATAGCTGCGTGGAGCGTCTGCGCGTGGCACTACGCGCAGACGCACAGCCAAACCGCGCCTACAACCTCACCACCGCCACCACCACCACTACATCGATCCGCACCTGTCCGCTGCTGCTGCCGTCAAAGCTGCTCTGCACCACCACAATAACACACAACAAACTAGTATCAACATCACCACCATATTTTCTAACCATCAAAGCAAACACAGTAACCATTTACATGCTCTCGTATTCATTTTACGACCATCATTAAACTAAGAAACCCTGCAAGTGCACCATCCATCCCATGCCGGTCAACAGAGAAAAAAAATCAACGAACTTCATGTTTGAAAATCTTGAATTTAGGTAAATTGCTACTAGTTTAGCAGGACCAAGAGCCCCAGAAAACAATAGAGGTTTTAATTACTTTAAGCATCACGAGAGGCACAGACACCAGAAAGGGACCAGCAACCCGACGGCCTCCAGTGGACTCGAAGTCCTCCGTCACGTGCTGCGGACGCGGCGGGCGCCGGCCCGTGTGGACAGACCGGCCCCCGGCGGACAGCGGTGCCGGGGACTGGCGGACAGCGGTGCCGGGGACTAGGGACAACGGTGCTGGGGACTGGTGGACAGCGGTGCAGGGGACTGGTGGACAGCGGTGCTGGGGACTGGTGGACAGCGGTGCTGGAGACTGGCGGACAGCGGTGCTGAGGACTAGGGACAGCGGTGCTGGGGACTGGTGGACAGCGGTGCTGGGGACTGGCGGACAGCGGTGCTGGGGACTGGCGGACAGCGGTGCTGGGGACTGGCGGACAGCGGTGCTGGGGACTGGCGGACAGCGGTGCTGGGGACTGGCGGACAGCGGTGCTGGGGACTGGCGGACAGCGGTGCTGGGGACTGGCGGACAGCGGTGCTGGGGACTGGCGGACAGCGGTGCTGGGGAC